CCAGGCCAAGTGTCTGGGCCAAGGCTGGAGGCCTGTGCAGTCTGTCCTGCGACCCTGCCCCGTGCTGACCTGCGCTTTCTTTACAGGTGTGGACGACACCGTTAGTGTGCTACTTCAGTACCCAGGAGGGGTCCACGGTAGCTTCACCTGTAGCATCACCTCCAACCTCCCCAACACAGCATACGTGATTGGCACCAAGGGCATGGCCCAGGTGAGCCACACATGTTTCAGAAGGCTATGTAGCATATGCAGCAGCCTTGGGGGGGGAGGAAGCTAAAGCTGAAGTAACCATTATTTGCTCTGCTTCTGAGACATTCAGACTCCTCAACCGCCAAGGGATGCGGTTTCGGCCTTAAGGTTATAGTCCCCTACTCTCAGGCCTTTGGTTTTTGGTGCCTAACTTCCCAACTCTAAACACATGCTCTGCCACCAAGTGACTCTCCGGCCCTGAGTTCTTTCCAGCTATATTTGCTACTTTCCCTAATCCTGTGACCAATGTCTGACAGAAGCATTTTAAGTGAGGGAATGGTTCGTTTTGGCTCAGGCTTACCCATCATGACCTGTCAGCCCATCATGGTGGGAAAGGCACGGAGGCTGAACAGCTTTGATCTGTAGCAATGGAGGCTGTACACACAGCTTGCTCACCATGCCAGTGAGGAAGCCGAGAACTCGGGTGAGCACCAAGAGTGGACATGACCCTCCAGGCCCACACTCCAGCCACCTCCTGCTGTGAACCATTCAGGTTCTAAACATCATGCTAGCCGGGCTTAGGACTTTCCAGTTGTCTCCAGACAATTTGTGTAGCACCAGAGGCCAGATTTTCTTAGATTCTGGGAATGCTGTTGCTAGACAGAAATCCTATTTTTTGGTCTGAAAATGTGGCTCAGTGGAAGACTTGGCTTCAAATCAAATGAGCCACATTTGATTTGTCAAATGCATGGTACCCTGCATTTGACACCTAGCTGCCAAAGAAAGGAGATCCTGTTGAGCCTAGAGGTTTCAGGGGGCATCACAGTTCCAAGCCATTCTTGGCTACAGAGGAATTTCAAGGACAGTCTGGACTACTTTGCAAGACCTTCAAAAATAAAAAGGAGAAAGAATCTAGAGACAGAGATCTAGCATTGCCTAGAATCCTCCAGTGAGGGCTGTGTGCATGACTCAGCAGTAGAGCACATTTTTAGTGTGAAGCTGAGTGTGTTTGATCCCTAACACATCAATGAAAAAGATGGAAAAGGGAGAAAGAAATCATATATCCAGCAAGTCAAACTATAGAATAATTTCAGCCCTTTGCTGCATTTTGAAGGACTTCTACCATCCTTCCCTCGTGTCCTAGCTGCCATCCACCGTTTCCATCCTGTCCTGCAGGTGGACGTTCAGGTCCACCAGGTAAGAAGGAAGGTTGTCAGCGCTCTGCTTTGTGTGCGTCCTTGGAAGAAAAAGGGTCATTCTAGGGAATTAGGCTTAGCAAGAGCAGGGTACCAGCTTCCCGTGAACTGGGGGCTGACTCCTCCTTGCTCTACGAAAGCTTTTATATTGTTACAGGATATACAACTTTTTGTTTTGTTTTTGGAGACAGAGTTTCTCTGTGTTATGGCTGTCCTGGAACTCACTTTGTAGGCCAGCCTGGCCCTGAATGCATAGCAATTCCCCTGCCTCTGCCTCCTCCTGAGTGCTGGGATTAAAGGTGTGCGCCACCACCACCTGGCAGGATTTTTACCGTTAGGCAAACAATTTCCACATACCCAACTCTTATCTGAAGCTGTTTGAAGGAACCATTTGTCCAAGCAGTTCTCAGCCTTGAGACTTCTAGGTTTGCCAAGTCCTCTAAGAACTAAGAAGCAAACATTTAAAGGAAAGGTAACAATCACTGAAGTAGTTCAAAGGCTAGGTAGGAATTCAAGCCAGAGGCAATGTCTCTGTGGGATCTCTTCTACATTCTACAGAAGGCATTGTATGGTGGCACACACTTGTAACATCAGGCTAAAGAATCAGAAGTTCAAGAACCTCAACTTCACTGGGAGTTGGGATCCAGCCTGGGCTGCATGAGCCCTCATCTTCAAGAGTGATGATGCCATCCTGCAATGTGGTCCTGGAGCCTTCATTACTTGGCCAGAGGAGGAGCTGGTCCTCAAGTCTAAGCTGGTTTTGATTGGGAGGGGGGAGACAACAGGCAGGGTCTTACTATGACAGAATCATTGCCAAGGATCAGACTCATCAACTCCAATTCCGGCAGAAGGCAAGCTTGAACTTCACAAGTCGAATAAAGTCAAATAAAGCCTTGACTCTCAGGTGCCAGAGCTCCTCCCCGGGCCCACTAGGCATGCTTTCCAGAGTGGAGCCTGCAGCTCTGCTGGTAAGGGCTGAGTGGTAGTGGTAGGCATTGTTATCTTCCTCCAGATTTGCAAAACGTGGTGCCCAACAGAGCTGGTAGTGAATGGTGAGCGTAAAGAGTTCCCTCCGCCTGCCCTTGGGAAAGACTACAATTTTTTAAACGGATCATGCATGAGTTATGAAGCGAACCACATCCGCGAGTGCCTGCGTAAAGGTAAGGAGTGAAGGACTACAACCTGGGATCAGTCTAAGCAGAATATGGTGCTCCCTCCTACGCTGAAGCCCAAACACCTAATTTGGAACTACATTTCCCAGGATGCTGAGGGACATCCACCCGCTCAAATCAGGCTGGGGTTGGGGGGGCTATTTCATGAGAACTTCTGGGATTGTAGTTTTCTTGGTATCCAGCGTGTGGTTCCTGTGCTCTCTCCTCCCAGGTCTTAAGGAAAGTCCTGTAGTTCCTCTGGCAGAGAGTGAGCTCTTGGCTGAAATTCTTGAGGAGGTGAGGAAGGCCATTGGAGTCACTTTCCCCCAGGACAAATGATGGTGCTCCTGGGTTGGACATGGCAAGCAATGTTTCCTCCTTGGGATACTCTAGCTTGACCCTCATTGCTTTGGAGTTATTTTTGCAAAACAGCCCGAGTTTTCCCGTTGGAGACCACTGCCTTTCTGGGCTCTTGACAGTCGCTATCCTCTTGATGTTCTTCCTGCACATTCTGTCACCACCTGTCCTCAAACTCACTAGGATGCATATATCTTTCTGTGTGCTGTGAATATGTTTTGCTCTCATTGGTTGATAAATAAAGCTGCTTTGGCCTATGGCAAGTCAGAATAGAGCCAGGTGAGAAATCCAACAGAGATACAGGAGAAGGGTGGAGTCAAGAGAGCCGCCATCCAGCTGCCCATGGATCAACATGCCAGCAGATCGATAATGCCACAGCCACATGGCAATACTCAGATTAATAGAAATGGGTTAATTTAAGTAAGAGTTAGCAAGTTATAAGCCTGAGCCATAGGCCAAACATTTATAAGTAATATAAGCCTCTGAGTGGTTATTTGGGAACTGGCGGGCAAGAGAGAAACTTACGGTTATAATGATTGAAAGGGTTTTATGGTCCAAGGGTATCTTGGGGATCTGGAACCAAGGAATCCCACAGCAATGCCATGTAACAAACCTCACACAAGAGGTTTTATTGGGACGAAACCCAGAATGACAGAACAAAGCCGTGGACTGGGCAGAGGGGCAGGCTCTTATAGGGTCTGTCATGTATGCACAATGAGCTAGAGAAAGTACAGAGCAGTAAGAAATATTACTAGGCCATTAACCCTGGGTCATGGGGGTGGGGATTTTAAAGCCCCGGGTTTTGAGACAGGCCAGGGGCAGGATGATTCTCCACTGGCCTGTTACCCTACAAAGAGAAACCCAAAATAGCTTCGAAGGAATGTGGAATACCCAGTGGCTAGTATTGCCAGGTAACACTGTTCTGCTGGCTCTGTGTCCAGCCCTCTTCCTTTCCTTGAGATTGTTTTCCTTTTAGGGACTGATTAAGAGTGGGTGTGGCAGCAGGGTGTACTGGGGAGGCAAAAGCAGGCAAATCTCTGTGCGTTTGAGACCAGCCTGGTCTACACAGCAAGTTTTAAGCCATCCAGTTCCAATGTGAGCCCCTAGAGAGAGATTGGTGGGGGGGACTCAGGAGGCGGGGCGAGGGGGTGGGGAGAATGATGACAGAGACCCTGGAGCTGGAGAAATGACTCAGGAGTTAGTAGTCCTTGTTGGTCCTGATTCAGGTCACAAAGTGATTCACAACTGTCTTTAACTATAGTTTAAGAGAATCTGATGCATTCTGACCCCTGTGAGCAACCAGGCACACTGGGTACACATCTATGCAGGCTGTAAATCTCACACCCTGGGACAAAGGGCTGAGGTGCCTATTTCACATAACAAAGCCGACCTGGCTGTCGGGTTCTCCCAGCATCCCTCAGTCCCTATCTGTTGGTGGTGGGGCATGGCTGGCACACCGTGCCCTCTACCCTGAACTTTCCAGCCCAGGAGCTGGGCTGCCCTTCCCCCAGAGGCTCTTCCCTGTATAATCCAGACATTTGGGTTCCTGCTATTTTGTACCTTTGCCTCCTTGGCTGTTGTGTCTTAGTTCCCTCTTTCTCTCCTCCTCTCTCCTCATGACCCAGGTCAGTACAGTCTTGTAAACTCTGGACTTTCCCAGCCGTCTCTGCCTCTACTTACACCCTATGTTTTAGCTACAATAAACTTTCTCCTCCACCATACCTATGAGGAGTCATGTCCTTTCTTTTTTTTTTTTTCATCCACAGACAAAACACTCATATATACAAAATAAAATAGATACATTTTTTAAAAATTTAGCCAGAGTTGGGTGGTGGTGGTGCAGGCCTTTCATCCAGCACTCAAGAGGCAGAGGCAGGTGGATCTCTGTGAGTTCAGGGCCAGTCTAGTCTGCAAGAGCTAGTTCCATGACAGGCTCCAAAGCTACAGAGAAACCCTGTCTCAAAAAAAGAAAACAAACAAACAAACAAAAGAAGTACGGACTTAGGCTACACTGTGTGACTCACTAGGCCACACTACTGCTCCCACACCGAAGTTTGTTGTTATTTAATTTTTTCTGTTGTTCTTGTTGTTCTTTTAAATTTTATTTTGTTTTGTGGGGGGGTCGAAGGGGCAGAGGGTGAATGTGAGGGGATGAGAGATGAGTAGAATCAGGGCGCATGATGTGAAATTCACAAAGGATCAATAAAAAGTTAAAATAAAAAGAAACAACGACAAAAAACCCTGGTGCTAGGAGGGCTTTTTCAACATAGGACTAAAGCCTCTTGACACCTAGAGTCTTGACTCCTAGATGAGTCTACCTTCTCCCAGGGCCCCTGCCACCCTAAGAAGGCTGATAAATTCCTCCTAGTATATTTCAGAGTATGTTCATGCCTGTTGCTACTTCATACTCTGAAGGTTTTCTTTCTCTCACTCATTTTTTTCCCTTTTCTGTTTTTTTTATATTTTTCTTATTTTTTATTTATTTTTTCATTTGTTTTTGTTTGAGAAAGGGTTTCTCTGAGTAGCCCTGGCTATCCTGGAACCCTGATTTGAGACCAGGGTGGCCAGTGCTGGGATTAAAGGGGTGCGCCACCACCGCTGGGCCCTTCTTTCCTTTTGAGACAAAAGTCTGTTTTGGCCGTGCAGGCTGACTTCAGATTCATAGCAATTCTGCATAGGGCTTCCATGTTCTGGGATTACAGGGATGGGCCACATACTAGGGTCTGTCCCATCCCCTTCCTTTCTCTGTTTGTTTTGAGTGAGGGTCTCACTACAGAGTTTTATCTGGCCTGCCACTCCCTAGGTAGACCAGGCTGATCTCAAATTCACAGAGGTCTGCTTGTTTCTGGGTTTGGAAGCTGGCATTAAAGACGTGGTAGCCTCTGCCTGTTTTTGATTTCTGAATTCTTAATGATGCAGCCCGGACTCAAACTTTACAGTCCAGGTTTGCCTCAAATTCTTTGGCAATCTTCCTGCTTCACTGTCTTCAGGGCTGACCTCGCCCCTGTTGGGCTATCACCTTCACCTGGTTTTGTTTGTTTATTTTTTCCAGATGGGTCCTGGCTGGCTTTGAGCTTGAAGCGATACTCCCTTCTGCCTCCCCGTACTGGGAGACCATTATGCCTGGTCTCGGTTTTCGTTTTTGTGACGAGGCTTTGTTGCTTATCCTAGGCAGGCTTTGAACTCGAGGTAATCTTACTTCAGTCTCTCTAGTGCTCTCTGCCACAAAACTACGGCAAACGGAATAATGGGTACTGGTCTGGCTTCAGGCAAAATCGCGCTTGCAGACCTGTAATCCCAGAAGGCGGAAGCCCTATGCAGATGTGTCGCATTCTCGCGACAGAGGCCCCGCCCTGGCAGACCGGGCAGTCACGTGACCAGCCTTGCGGGGCGGAGGCCATGTTGCGGGGCACCCACGTGAGAGGCGCACGTCCGCGAACGGTCACGTGACCGGGGCGCGCTGCAGCCGCCCGGGGCGCACCCGGCGAAAGGCAGCGGCGGTGATGGACGGGTCGGGGGAGCAGCTCGGAGGCGGCGGGCCCACCAGCTCTGAGCAGATCATGAAGACAGGGGCCTTTTTGCTACAGGGGTGAGTGTGAGTCAGGCTCTGTTGTGGTGGGGTGGACTTCGGGAGCAACACGCGATTCTCACTCTGCGCCTCCCTCACCCACTTCCATTCACATCTAGTTTCATCCAGGATCGAGCTGGGAGGATGGCCGGGGAGACACCTGAGCTGACCTTGGAGCAGCCACCCCAGGATGCATCCACCAAGAAACTGGGCGAGTGTCTCCGGCGAATTGGAGATGAACTGGACAACAACATGGAGCTGCAGAGGTGTGGTTCCTGGAACCCGGGGTCCATCCTGGGATTTCCTGCCCCCCTCAAGAACTGGGCACTGTGTACTCTGGTCCTCTCAAGGAATCGGGTGTTCCACCACTCACCTCAGATACTCCATGCTAGGGATAGAACCAGGGTCTCTCTACATGGTAGGCCACCTCTTGCCCTTGAGCTGTACCCTGGCCTCTTGCTTGGTGGGTGTTAGACAAATCTTTTCTGAGTCACACTGGTGGGTTCTGGGTAGGTACTGTACTACTGAGCCATGCCCACAGCCCCTCACAGGTGAGTGTTAGGCGGGCTCTACTTTTAGCCTCTCATTCGTGCACGCTGCATGAATAGTTACCTTAAAGCCAGGTTTCCAGCCTCTTCTTGGTAGACGCTTGCAGGTGCTCTACCACGGAGCCATGCCTCTGACACCCCTGATGAGTCTTAGGCAGGTGCTGAGCCACCAAGTCACACTTGGAGCCCCTGAAGGTAGGTGTTCTGCCACCCTCCACTTGTAGATTCTAGGCGAACATGCTTCTGCTGTCACTGGTTCTTCCCCAGGACCTTGAAATTCATTTTCTTTGCTTTCTTAGGTGCCTTGCCTCCTTCCCAGCCCAGGCTCTGGCCTTTGTGTCCTAGCTGGGGAGGCTGTGGGAACTCCTACTGGGTCTGCCCACCTTGCTCAGCACCTATTCTCTGTCCTGTAGGATGATTGCTGACGTGGATACAGACTCCCCCCGAGAGGTCTTCTTCCGTGTGGCAGCTGACATGTTTGCTGATGGCAACTTCAACTGGGGCCGGGTCGTTGCCCTCTTCTACTTCGCTAGCAAACTGGTGCTCAAGGTGAGCAGCTGCAGGTCGCTCGCGGGCCCAGGGCTGTACCCTCAGGTCTGTGTTGAGGGCCAGGGGCAGGAGAAAAATGGCTGTGTATATATCCCTTCAACAAATGGATTGGGCCTAATACATGATGGCCTAACCCCAGCACCTAGTCTCTCTGCCCTGAACAAAACAACTAGCCTTTTCTGATGGAGGTCTGTTTGGTGGTTGTGACGTTGAGGTAAGGTAGATAGATGGATCAGAGTCTAGATTTCTCAGGATAGAAACCTTAAAACCAGCATGGTGGCTTATGCTTTTATGCTTCTAATTTTAGGGCTCATGTTTAGACTGATGTTGGAATATCAAGGTTTAAGGTTAACTATAGCTAAATACTGAGTTTCAGGCTATCCTGGCTACCTAAAACCTAGGTTTTGTTTGTTTGTTTGTTTGTTTTTTCGAGACTGGGTTTCACTGTAGTTTTAGAGCCTGTCCTGGAACTAGCTCTTGTAGACCAGGCTGGCCTCGAACTCACAAAGATCCGCCTGCCTCTGCCTCCCAAGTGCTGGGATTAAAGGTGTGTGCCACCACTGCCCAGCTTTAAAACCTAGTTTATAAAAAAGAAAAAGAAAAAAAAACAACAAAAACCTGAGAAATGGCATGACAGATGGGGTGTGTGGCTGAGTAGGGAAGCCTTAGGTTTGATCTCCCATCACCACACACAAACATGAAAAGGGGGCTGGGACCATGGCTCAGTTGATAAGAATGTTTGCCTAGCATATACACTAGCCCTAGGTTCAGTACCGCATAAACCAGGTGTGTTTGGTGCATTCCTCCA